TGGACCTAGCAAGTGGCGAGGGAAGTGATGGCGATGCAGTCTCTTGAATAGCCATTAAGATTTTCTTCTAGTAGTTTTGAGATGCACTGTGATATGTATTACAGACAAGTATAAGGAGGGAAGTCACTAGACAGTTACTCGATGGTGGGTGTGCAACATTACCCTGGCTGGTGTTATCGAAGTTATGAAGCTATGCTTCAAAATGCGTCTCGTGAAGCTATGGTTCAAAATGCGTCTCGTTGCATATCGAAACTGCTCAAGATGTTGCCGGAGTCTCACCGCAAGCTGCAGATGGGCCTGCGCTTGTTCTCCGTCGACGCCCGAAGGTCAATGCTATTCGAATTTAGGCTTAGTTTTGAGAAATGTCAAACTAGCGTGCAACAGTCGGGGCGCAAGCTCTTGTGCACTCTATGGGGCAGGCTAGGATTGAACAACTCCGTAGGGGTTTTGCTGGAGCGGATACATGCTGTCATATGAAACAAAGTATAATTAGCTGCGGAGTCAACGCTGTGGCACCTGAAATCAGACGTAGAAGCTGAGGCAGAGAACGGCCGTTGGAATGAAGTTGTAGCAGACTTTTTCTATACCCTGCCCAACAGCGCATGTGAACACAGTGCTGCTGATGGGATCACCTTGTATTCCTGTTGATGGGTCAGTTACTGGAAAGGGTGACCATAGGGCAAAGCATACCCATCTTCTGTTTGGTGAGCCGTATGCATTCNGTCAGTTACTGGAAAGGGTGACCATAGGGCAAAGCATACCCATCTTCTGTTTGGTGAGCCGTATGCATTCCTATCGCAAAGCAGCGACTTCTGCAGTTCCAGGCTTACAAACAGGTCTGTTTGACACTCGATGTAAGAAGAAGGCGCCGTTTTCACGTCAGCATCTCGGGAATGCTGATTTTCACAGAACAGCAGCAAATACGCACATCCCTGATGAATACTGCAGACATCACCTGTCACCTGTACCGCAGCCAACCTGAAAACAAGGGAAAACGTTGACGCCTGTGACTGCTATAGCTTTGCCCCGGAAAATACGAATGGTGTATTGGGGTGCAGGACACGGCCTGAGAGGAAGATCTCCGTGTCCTGATGCTGGTCACGCTGTCGTGGTTGTCCTAATATTCTGTATGCTCAGCCAGAAGCTGCACTTCCGAGCGAACCTATGGTGAGGAGCTTCCGTCGTCTGGAGACGACTGGAAGGACTTGGTTTGCCATAATGTNGCATTTGTGCATTTGTGCTCATGTGTAGTTTGTCTGAATCTGAACGCTGTGTCAGGAGGTGAGAGCTGTGGCGTCTGGAAGGGGAATTGTGGTGCGGCACACTGTTGCGACAAAGAAGGCGAAGTGACGATGTGCGGTTCATTTTTGCTTGACAGGACAGAACGTTGTTTGGAGATATGCGAAGTTGCGTACTCTTTGGTTAGTTGGGGGTCAGCAGCAGCGACGAACAATCACAAAGATGAACCGGAATACCACCATCTGCATTCACGCCAGTGAGAGTAGCCCACCAAAAAGGAGGAATACTTTTGGCTCTTGTAACCCGACTCGTTTGAGTGTAGGATGATGCGTCGAATGGCAGGATACGCGGGTCTGGGAAGCGCCGTGAGAGGAAGAGCGTGTGGATTGGATGTGGATGCATTGTAGGGCGTTGCAGACGCCTCGCGTGTTCAGCTAGAGGCAGTGCGTCTCAAATGAGTGCGCGTCTGGGTGATGCAGTCGTCTTGCGATCAATGTGGACGGCAAGGGAAGAAGTGAATATGACGGTATGTGCGCTGACAGAGAGAGACGCTCATGTGGACTGAAACGGTTATAGAGAGCCTGTTCATCTTCGCTCGGCCTGAGAGCAGTGACAGGAGTTGTGACCGGCGATCCCAAGTGCAGGTCATGCGGCGCACCGCGCCACTGAAGCAGTGGCACACCGGTAGCGATCTGGGATGCGTCTTGTTGGGGAGGCCAACGCGTTGTTTTGTGTCTGTAGCCCGATATGCACAGATTGCCTGTGGGCNATACGTGCAGCGAGAGCGGCCGGAAGGCGGTGTATGGGTGTGTGGGAATCCGCGTGACACGAAGAGCGTGGGGAAAGGATGTGGATGCGTGCTTGTAGAGTGGTGGATATTTTGTCTCTTCAGTCAGAGGCGGTGCGTCTCAGTCAAAAGGGGAGTGTGGTTGGCGATTGTGAGTGGGTTAAAATACGTGCAGAGAGATGGGCCGGAAGGTGGTGTATGGGTGTGTGGGAATCTGCGTGAGAAGAAGAGGGTGTGGAATGGATGTGGATGCGTGCTTGTAGAGTTGTGGATATTTTGTCTCTTCAGTCAGAGACGGTGCGTCTCACTGGACATGCGTTTGGGGTTGATTTTCTGTCATGCGGTGATGAATGTGGAATTCGATGGCATGCGACGATCAGGCTGGTCTATGCGTGCAGGTAGAGGGAGGCGGTGCGGTGGGTTGAAGTGCCTATGGGGTGCGGATTTTTCTTGTATGTGGGCGGTGACAGGAGGTGGGTTTTGCGTTTGGGAGAAGGACTGGGGTAGGACACTGTAGCGGGTCGGCGGCAGCTGCGGCGGAGGTGCTGTGATGTGTAGTGCGTTTTGTTGGGAAGGTTGGAGCGTCATTTTATGGCTACAGAAAGACTGCGTGAAGAGATGTGCACCGATTGTGTGTGGGTGGCTGTTGGTCGGGGAGCGTTAGCCGCGCGGGGCAGAGGTGATGGTGAATTGGAACAGCAGTGCTCGCGCCGGAGGAAGGAGGCATGGACACGGAAAAAGGGGGGTGTGGCTGGCGATTGTGAGTGCGTTAAAATACGTGCAGCGAGAGCGGCCGGAAGGCGGTGTATGGGTGTGTGGGAATCCGCGTGACACGAAGAGCGTGTGGAAAGGATGTGGATGCGTGCTTGTAGAGTGGTGGATATTTTGTCCCTTCAGTCAGAGGCGGTGCGTCTCAGTCAAAAGGGGAGTGTGGTTGGCGATTGTGAGTGGGTTAAACTACGTGCAGAGAGACGGGCCGGAAGGTGGTGTATGGGTGTGTGGGAATCTGCGTGAGAAGAAGAGGGTGTGGCATGGATGTGGATGCGTGCTTGTAGAGTTGTGGATATTTTGTCTCTTCAGTCAGAGACGGTGCGTCTCACTGGACATGCGTTTGGGGTTGATGTTCTGTCGTGCGGTGATGAATGTGGAATTCGATGGCATGCGACGATCAGGCTGGTCTATGCGTGCCGGTAGAGGGAGGCGGTGCGGTGGGTTGAAGTGCCTATGGGGTGCGGATTTTTCTTGTATGTGGGCGC